TGGCCGCAGTGGTGCTTCAGCAAGTTACGTATGCCAAACCCCCGGTTTTAATGAATTGCATGTTGGAGATTATACGCCTTCATGTCGATAAAGCACTCGCGTATGATACGCCAAGAACGCTGCCGCTGCTCTGCCCCGTCTTTTGTCCTATCCATAGCAAATGACACGCCACATGTGCTGGGCCCCTACTTGGAGGTTCATGGTACTCACTAACCCAATTAAGTGGGTTGCAAGTACAGTGATACTTGGTTCAACAAGTACCGTGAACCTGCAAGTAGATGCCAAAATCCAAGTGGGGGTTTATGATACTATGGGTACCTTATCGGCTTTAAAAGGGGGATCCCTTCTATTTGGGGGTCTATGTTAGCGGTCCCAAGTGGCAAGAGTGGCAAGCCATGAGCACCCGACCAGGTCCGCATCGCGCTCAGCGGGACGCCGGCCGCTCGCCTATTCGAAGGGCTTCGAAGGGTTTTGGGTTTTGGGTTTCGGGTTTAGGGTTTAGGGTTTAGGGTTTAGGGTTTTGGGTTCTGGGTTTAGGGTTAAGGGTTGGGATGGTTCGGGATTACCGAAGGCTTCGTGCTTCCGATGCGTTTTTGGACTCTGAGGCTCTGCCCTCGAGGCAAAGAATGCACAGGAGATGCCTTCAGCTCAACCCCGACATCCGCTAAGAGCCCAGAAGCTGTAACCTTTTCGGAGCCTCTAGGCTTTTCACCACGCACACCGACATAGATCCACATCGGTCCGTGCATGATCCATGTATGTATATAGCTAGGTATGGATGTATGCGTCCCTGCCCGTAGAAGCCAAGTTCTGCGGCCGAGAAACCCGACACGAACAGCAAGCCTGCAAACATGTATCAGGGCTTGGCAGTCGGAACCTCCCGATAGGCAGTGCTTCTTAGACTGAATCAGTGTTGTTGTTTTTCCTGCTGTTGTTCTGGTTTCTGGGTCTTTCTGAAGCACATGGAAGCCAAACAAGTATACATGACCTGAATTTCCAGGGGAATTCCCTAGGCCGTGTATCCCGAAAACTCCAGAAAAAAAGAGTGAGTGTCGAAACCTCCAGAAAACGGCCCCAGTCCCAAAAACAGCCCAAAACCCCTAACACCCTATGCCCAGAATGAACCTTGATCTTGGTGGTCGACTTTTGGGGAGCGCGGTGCTGGGGAAACTTCTAAGCCCTCAAGCCCCCTGAACCTTGAACACTGAGGGTTTAGCGGCTTTATGGGCTTCAGGGGGCTTAGGGACCCTCAACCCTAAACCCTAAACCCTGAACCCTAAACCCTAAACCCTAAACCCTAAACCCTAAACCCTAAACCCTGAACCCTAAACCCTAAACCCTAAAAACACCCTAAAGGGGTTGAGCCCCACGAGCAGCCAGGTCGAGAACCGGCTGAGCGACCTGCATTCTCAGTTCCTTAGTAGCTGAGCGAGTACACTTTACACTTTTTGGGATTAGGGTTTAGGGTTTAGGGTTTAGGGTTTAGGGTTTAGGGTTTAGGGTGTAGGGTGTAGGGTTTAGGGATAGTCCCCTATGAACTCAGCAACTAAGGTTCGAGTTCATCCTCCCTGGCTATCTGGCGCTTCTTGGCTCGGGGGGGGGGGGGGGGGGGCTGTACTTTGATACTTGCTTTTTGCTTCTGGGTTCCTATTTCTAGCTACGTACACCTAACAAGGATATACACCTTTTTAAAGGGTTTGCGTACTCCAAAGTTCGGGGAGAGGAGCAGTCAAGGGCTTGGGGGATTGGGGTGTAGGGTTGAGGGTTGTTTTGCGAGCAGGGACATGCCGGCTTGGAGCTCAGCCCGGGTTCAACAGGGTTAGGGTTCAGGGTTTAGGGTCAGACTTCCGGCCAGGACTTCATAGCCCGGATGCAAAAAAGGGCCAGACCTGGGGCAAAAACTAAACGGTTTAGGGTTTAGGGTTGAGGCTTGAGGGTTTAGGGTTTAGGGCGAGGGACTCCAGACCTCAAAGCCCTCCAGCCCTCAACCCTGCGGCCTTTATGACTTGTAAGGACCTCCAAGGCGGAGTTCAACAAGGACTCGCCCGGGCTTACCTGCTTCTTCTTTGCAGGGTGGGTTTAGTGTCAAGACATTCTTTCGAGCCATGCCTTCCAGGTCACCTGCGGGGATGTTCCCCTTTATGCTAACAGTCCTGTATAAGGATCATGACAGGGGTACTACCACTCCGCCCTGTTAAGGCCTGATAGTACAAGGGGAGGAAATGCATTGGAAAGCGGTTCTCGGAACGGTGGAGGATTCGTGCGCTTCAAGCTGTTTTTGGGTCGATGGCATAGAACCCAAACCCTACGATGCATCGAGGCAGACGACTTTGGGGTCAGTCACATCAGTGAGCGGCATGAACCAATACATCTGAGCCGGCACGTTCCTATCCTTTAGTCATAATCTGTGGCAGAAACACTTCGCGACTTCACGTGGCGTACGTAGCACATCTCTCGTGTTCCAGCAGCTGCTTCGTCGACAATGTCGTTCAGAGAGCAGCGCTTGGCCCCACTGCCAGTCACGTTTGTGCACTTCGAAGAACCGAAGGAGACAGGCTTGCGACGCTCGCATAGCTATTCGGGATATGTGCCCTTCGAGCCGATGACCGAGCATCCACTCGATCCAGGCGATGCAGGAGCATCGCCCGAGGAACCATGGCCCGAGGCAGACGGAGATGCTCAGACTCGCTCAGGAATGCCCGGGCTTGCGACGCCTCAGCACACCGAGCTGGATGCTGCAGCCATGGACCCGGCGGCAGGCCCTTCCACCGAAGCTGCGGCCGAACCTGCAGCGGATGCTGCAGATGCTGCGGTATCATGGGATGCGAGCAAGGCTTTATGCTTGTGCTCCGGGGCCGAGGCAGCAGTCTCTCAGGGCGATGGGGATCGGAGAGGCCACGTGGAGGAGACGGAGGTGCCCGGGGCCAAGCCCGAAATCACCGAGGGCTTGCGCAGGGTGCGCATCTGCAACCTCTCCGAGGATGTGACGCAGACATCCGTGATGGAGGCCATCGACCGCCTAGGATTCTCGGGGCAGTACGAGCTGTGCAGCTTCTTCCAGGGCTTCGACAGCAGCCACGCCGCCCTCAACTTCGGCTCGGCAGCTTTGGCGTACAAATTCCAGGCGGGGGGGGGGGAGTGGGGGGTGGGGAGTGGGGGGTGGGGTGGGGTGGGGGGGATTGTCATCTTTAATTCATTTGTCTTTTGATTGTGTGCTATGGTTTGTTATCATTAACATGAATTCTTCTCTATGAAGGTGTAGTCTACGGATCTGCTATTTGTACTGGAAAATGGGAGGGTTCAGGGCAATGGGTTCATGCTGAAGTTTTCTGTAGCAGGTGAAGTGGCATGGCCAGGCGAGCTTGAAACCTGGCTCCAACCCCGTGGTGCAGTCGCTTGCTCACAATTCCCCGTCACCTTCAGACTGCTTGGGACAAATTGCCACACAAAGCCCGCGCACAAAGACCATCAGCAAAGGCGAGCACGTCCAGGAGGGGCTCAGCGAGTCGGTGATTGCGGCCAACAGAACCAAGCCGGCAGCCTCGGCCGCGAAAGCCAGAAAAGCCAAAGAGAGCAAGCCGGCGCCCTCGGCACCCTCGGCACCCTCGGCACCCTCGGCACCCTCGGCACCCTCGGCACCCACGGCGCCCTCGGCGCCCTCGGGACCCTCGGCACCCTCGGCACCTTCGGCAGAGGAAGAGGCGGCGAAGAAACGCGCTCAAGAAGAGCAGGTGGCGCAGGCCAGGAAGACGGCAGCCGTCGTCCTCAATAGAGCAAGGATGATGGCTGCAGGCAGCAAGTGAAGTCGAACTCGCACCGGTGAAATGAGTGCCCGGCTGGGCATGGGGCAATGCCACGAAGGCAGGTGCAGGGATGTGAAGAGGGCTGCGGCAGACCAGAACCGTAAGCCCCCTCGGCGGTGACAGCCCTTGCACGGGCAAGAGAGCCGCGCACTTAATTCTGCTTGCCTCGCTAATTCATCCGGCATGCTCTCCGCTGCTGCCCTAAACAAGTCTTTTAGCTACAGGGGCAATGATGCACTAAGATGTCGCAGTCGTGAAACGGGCTTTGGGTGCATTAGGGAAGCACCTGAGAGCCTGGATTTATCTGATTGAACCAGCTGGTTCAGTCAGATCCTCTGATTCTTTGCAATACGAAAAGAGCAGCAGTTGCCAGCCATGGGATTGGGCCTGAGTGGGGGGTGTGGGATGACGGCATTCAGTGCCTCTGCCCCACAAACTTCGCATCTTAGAACCTACGTCCGAGGCTGAATGTACCTCAGTTTCGTTGCTTTAAACGATCTTTCAGCTAGCTTGTGGCTTCTTAAACAAGCCGGCACGTCACGAGGCAAATTTTGCAGGCAGCAAGCGGAGTTGGACCTTGCGGTGTAGGGTCCTTTGAGGTCCTGTTTAGGGTTTAGGGTTTAGGGTTTAGGGTTTAGGGTTCCTTCTGCGTATGCGGTTCACGGTTTAGGGCTTTGGGTTCAGGGTGTCGGGGTCAAAAAGTCCAACTCTCCAGCATCATCAGATGCTTCCCCACATGCACAGAAATCTCCAAGGTGGGAGCCTCATGTATCTCTTGCCTCGAGCGGTACATTATCCGCAATGCGCTGGCAGAAGGCTTCAGAAGGCAACTCTCAACAGCTGTTGAAAAGGGTGCATCGCTATCTTCACAGAGATACAGCTCTCAATTTTTGGGGAGTTCCTTATCTTCTTGGGAAGGGGTCTCCACTAGTTTAACGCCTCTTTCTTGGTTACGTAACTTGACTACCCAGACCTTCCAAAACCCCTTCATTAAGGAATATACCCGAATTCATTATAACGATCCTTACTCCTTAATTACGGGGTTTTGGAGGATCTGACTGGAGAGCGTAGGCTAGGTACACAGGTCTGAAGCCTGCGTCATGCTCTGCATGACTGTTCGTTGCAAGAGACAAAAGCTCCCAGTGCTGCATGCGCCCGCGATCTAAGAAGATATCCCTGAGTTGTGCACATCTCCCACACATCACGCTCTGCGCACATGTCGCTAATCTTCGCAAGCACTGAACAAGCCCTTGCACATTCCCCAACGCATAGGAGCCTCGAACCTCTCAGGAGCTTACCACATTGTAGGGCTTCAACATAGGATCCAAAGGTTTCCCAACTCCAGAAGCCAGAGCTCCCAAAGCCAAAGTCCAGAAGTTTCAGAGACCCAAGCTCCCGACTCTCTGAAGCGCCAGATCTGAGTCCCTGTACCTGCAACCCTAAACCCTAAACCCTAAACCCTAAACCCTAAACCCTAAACCCTAAACCCTAAACCCTAAACCCTAAACCCTAAACCCTAAACCCTAAACCCTAAACCCTAAACCCTAAACTAACCCTAAACCCTAAACCCTAAACCCTAAACCCTAAACCCTAAACCCTAAACCCTAAACCCTAAACCCTAAACCCTAAACCCTAAACCCTAAACCCTAAACCCTAAACCTAAACCCTAAACCCTAAGCCACGAAGCTAACAAAAACTTGCAGAGCCCTGAGGAGTTCGACAAGCCGCTGGGCAATGCGGCCAGGAAGCAGGGGCCCACGCCCGAGGCCCCTGCGCGAGAAAGCCCAGACCCTAAACTCTAAACCCTAAACCCTAAACCCTAAAACCCGAGCACCTAGGTTTGAGACGTGAAGGCTTTGTCTCTGGCTTTAGTTGCCGGTGGAGTGAAAGCACCAAAGGTTTTTGTAGTTTGCGTTGTTCAGGTTTGGGTGTTTGGGGGGCCGAGGAAGCCCCGCATCCGGCGCAAGTCCTGAACATGCCCAAGCCCTAAACCCTGAACTCTAAACCCTAAACCCTAAACCCTAAACCCTAAACCCTAAACCCTAAGTCTGAGAAGCAAGGTGCCCTAGAGGCCTGTCCTGTTCCTTGCGAGTTGCGCACCTGGGGTTGGCTTCGTAAGATTATGCCGGACGTGCTACTTTGCAGATAAGGTGCGAGGTCCTTTGTTTGGCATGCAGCTGACGTAGCGCAACTTCAAGAAGGGACGAGAAGTAGTCGAAAACAGATCCGACAGCTCCCACATACTCGGCTTGTAGCTCATAGTTAGGGGCCCGAAAAGCCACGTGAACATAAGGATGCTACAAACAGTTTTTTTTTCGGAATCCCCCTTATCGGGGCCCTTATACCCCCCACAGTAGGATCCTTATGTTTATGCGGCTTTTTGGGCCCCTAATAGCAATAGACGGCTCGTCTCAAGTTTGATTACGGCCCTTCCGCCTTTTGCCCTAAACCCTAAACCCTAAACCCTAAACCCTAAACCCTAAACCCTAAACCCTAAACCCTAAACCCTAAAATGTTTTGGACTTGGAGGCGCTGCTCTCCGAGTTGCTCTCATGACAAAAGCATCCTCAGAACCCTGCATCCGGGCCCGAGCCTCCCCTCGGACACCCAGGGCACACGACCAAGCTCTTTGAGGGTTTAGGGTTTAGGGTTTAGGGCGACAAACTCCTTAAGCCTAGAAATCCACGAGCTCAAAAGCGCCGGTCCACCGAACGGTTGGGTTCGTGTCAAGGTTTGTATTGAAAGGTGGCTGAGAAGCAGCGCCTGCTTCAGCGCCTCGTGCAGCCCTTCATCATGAGGCCTTGTTCTCCGCCCTTTAGACGGGGGCCCCTATTTTTCAGGTCTTGTGCTAGTCTTTCGTATCAAGGAGGCGTTTCGTGGTCGCTGCGAGCCTTTGCGCCTGTTGCTGCCGGCCGGTTTACAGTACCCTGAATCAATCGCGCAGAGGCGACTAAAGACGGACAAAAAGATTGCCGCCGACTTGCCTGACAAGGTTGAGCAGCACCGCGTCTGCCAGCGGAGGGTTAAAAGGTGCTTGGGGGCATTTTTTGCACATCCCCGGTTGCTTAGCCGTTGGCACTAAAAATGGCCACCTGGCGGTATTCTCTTGGGTGTTTGTCAGGATTAGTTCCAAGACTTCCCCAAACCCTCAAGCCAAATGCCAAAAAGTGATGTAATCCATCTGCCACAGCGGGAACATGCCCAAGCAATGGCTCCGCTGCTTTCGGGTTTGCCTAACGGACAGTCTTCAGTGCGGGCAGAGCGATGCCTGAAATCTTACAAGCCTTATCTCGTGTTCTTGGGAGAAGCAAACCCTCAACTTGAAACCCTAAACCCGAACCTTGCCGGCCGTGCGCGAGTGCGAGAGCCGAAACCGCAAACCCCAAACCCCACAGGCTCACCGGCTCACCATACCTCTTGGAGTAGCAGTCGCAGAAAGCCCAAAGCCTTGGATCCGCAAAAGTGCAGGATTTGAGGGTCCGAGAGTCGCTGACGCCCAGAAAGGCTGGCATGGCCCTGGCCACAAAGTTTGGGGTTTCGGATTTAGGGTCCTCGCGAAACAGACCTGGGTGACCTGTCAAGGAATCACGAGTGCGAGCTGTCCCCCTCCCAGGCACAGCCGGCAGAGAGCGTCCACTTGGAACTTGAACCACCCTTAAAGCCGCAAGAAGCTGCAGAGTTTGATGTCGCTATGCGGGTAGTGCAGGAACCTCGGCAGGTCCAAATAACCCCTCACACAATCCCAGTAGACAAATACAACAGAAAGGCCCCGAGTTGTACTCGTAGCAGACTTGGGAAATGTTGACTTTGACGCATGCAAAGGTTTCTGGCGGGGGCCGTACCGTAAACCCTAAACCCTGCCAAAAAGGTGTATGGGGTACTGTAGCTAGAAGTGAAGCTGCAAGTAAACCCAAGATCCTCATCGCCCCCCTCGGCCCTCAACCGCGACGGCGACTGCCTTGCGCAGGAAAGCTTATACAAGTCTCTCCAGGACCAGGGCTGGGACTCCCCGCCCCCGAATAGTCGTGTAGGATTTGGGGTTTAGGGTCGTGCATACATTTCACGGGCACCATCGTTGCCAGGATTCCTCGACCCTGACATGCTAGCAAAGGCTGCATCTTCACACTTAAACCCTAACCCAAAACCCAAAACCCACCCGGTCCTTCCTTGTCCGAAGGAACAAGGCCTGCAGAATACTGAGAATGCCCAGGGTATCGAGAGACGAGGGAAGGCGGGGCATTCTCCGGGTTGAGCGTTTAGGGTCTAGCCCGCAAGCCCAGTTGCAAAAGGGTTTGGGGTTTAGGGCCGGCAGCCTCCTCAGTCCATGCTTAAAGAGGGTTGAGGCATCCCGCCCTAAACATCCATGCGGCGCCTGCCAGCCCTGATCCGAAAGCGGGGTCCTGACTTTACTCCACCTAAGCTTCGGATGAGCGTTGAGGGCTCGACTCGACGTTTACCAGGTCTCAGAAGCCTTCGCCCAAGCAGCTGCTGCTATGGGATTTAGCCCACTGATGGCAGCAGTTTCTGAACCCAGGAAGACACGGACGCGGTTGGGAGTTTAGGCTAGAGGGCTTTGGGCCGGGGCCCGTAAAGGCCATCCTAAACCAAAAGCCTTTGGTCCCGAAGCGGCCCCCAAAGCCCCTAACCTGGAACTGGGCGCTAAGCTGCCGCAGGTCCTGGCAATGCTTCACGCCCTCCGGAAGGTCTGCAACCATCCAGCGTGCCTGGATGTGGACAAGTATCCGCAGGCAGACCGGCCAGGGCCTATTTAAACGGTTTGGGGTTGAAGCCCTGAAGCCCTAAAGGCTCAATCCTCGAACCCTAAGTCCACAAGCCTTTGTGGTGCCCAAAGCACTTTGAAACATCTCACACACACACACACATGGCTACCTGGTTTCGGAGCTTGCTTGTTGTTTACCACTCCAAACCCCTTAAGCTGCTCCATGAGCAAGTAGCGCCCAGTACCCTTATGAATGAACTTCATGTGCCTTCAGTCGTTTTTAGCTACCCACGCAGGTTCAAGAAGACCCAGAAGCAATCTTCCCTGCCAGGGCACCAATGCGAGCACCATCCCAGTTGGCTCCGACATCAACGCCAGCGGGAAGTGCGTTTCTTGCCTACTGGTGGTGGGGCTCCAGGGCCAATGCTCGTTGAGTGCTTTGGGCTCAGGGTTTTTGGGGTGTTAGGGGATTCCGAAACTCCCGAAACCAAAAAACCCTTGCAGCGCATCTGAAGCCCCCCGAGACACCAGGATGGTTGTGTGAAATCCTGAGGTTTGCTAACGGCATCCTCAACCCCCCCGAAGCCCCCCGAAAATTCCGTAAGGGTGCCGTACTAGGGGATTCCCCCCAAAAAGGGACCCTAATGCAGAGAACTACCCCTCAAACGCAAACTGCAGGGTTTTTTGTTTGGGGAAGGGGAACCCAACAAGCCAAAAACCCTAAACCCGAAGCTCCCTCTTCTCAGGTTTTTGGGGTCCTTAAGGGAGGGGGGTTCGGGGCGGGCAGGCTCCTTAGAGAAACCTTAGGGAGTAGTGGGGTAAAACCTAAACCCTTAACCCTAAACCCTAAACCCTAAACCAGGACGCTGGCGAACATGACTCCGGGCATCTCCTCATCTGAATGGTGTAGGGCAACATCCCCGGTTGGGTCATACCTAAGCCTCGGGGGGTGATTCTTCTTTTTGTCCGAGACCAACCATGAGACCGCTCAGTGCTGTGGCTAGCCGGGTGCCAAATAAAAACCCTAAACCCTAAACCCTAAACCCTAAACCCTAAACCCTAAACCCTAAACCCTAAACCCTAAACCCTAAACCCTAAACCCTAAACCCTAAACCCTAAACCCTAAACCCTAAACCCTAAACCCTAAACCCTAAACCCTAAACCCAATTCGAGAGACCCAGGCCAAGCTGCGGGAGCTCCTGGAGGCCATCATCGGAGGGCCCCCTGGCCAATGGGCCGATGGGTGTTCGGCAGATGGAGATCCCTTGAGGTCTAGGGTGAAGGGTAGGTTTAAGGTGTTTAGGGTTTAGGGTTTCTGGCACTTTGGTTCGTTGTCGCTGCAACGCCTCGCAGCAGATGGAGAGCGCACAGAGGAGCGAGGAAATGGGCAACCGCCAAGAGGCTGCAAGCGGATTGGCTGCCCTATCAGAGTGCTCCCCCGCAACTTGATTTCTGGGCGCAGGGACCACCGCCTTGCACGGCCTTGCCCTCAACCGGGGGCAACTCTGCTCCCCAGCAACTCAACTTCGCGCTGGTGCGATCGGGTAGCACGCGCACGGCCATCTGCATTCGGAAAAACCACAGAAACTAAGTCTCAGTGACCAAGTGGAGGCACGAAGAAGCATCAACATTCGCTGTTCACTAGAGAACCTACGGGAGAACCCTCCTTGAAAAGGGAGGAACCTCCTTGAAAAGGGAGGAACACCCGATAGGGTTTGGCAGATCGTCAGATAGCCCCGTCATCCTTCTCGAAGTTTCATTTTCGGCTACGTAGGGCTCAGTTCAGGCTCTTGAGGGAAGGCTGTACGTACTCTACGTACTCGGGACGTGCGATTCATGGGTTCTGGTCGGTTCTGGTCGCTCAGGGACGAGAAGGTGCTGATCTTTACCAGCTACCTCAACACGGTCGATCTTATAAAGAGCCAGGTGGAGGCCGGTTTCAACGTGAAGGCGCGGATGCTTTCTTTGGCCGAGGGAGAGATCTATGGCATGTTTCGCTCGTTTTCCGTGCCACACCGAGCGGTGCTTGTCCGTGGTTGTAGTTATCCTCTTCAAGCCTCGCTGACTTCATCCTACCCGATCAGGTGCGGACCATTGTCGGTGCCATGGATGCGCGCCAGCGTCAGGAGGCCCACGGTTTGGTTGAGGCATGTGGGCTCCAGGGCTTTGTTGGCCTTGGGTTCTTCTTCTGCCCGCGAAGGATATTCCTGCATGTTTCTGGATGTCTCACCCCAACAAGAGTCACAAGAGGTCTGCACAGGGCGTGCGCGCAGCTGTCACACCCTGGATGCGCGGCAACGACTCTTCAAGCTCCCTACCCCAATGAAAGTCGCAGACTCGCAGAGCCTGAATCTAAGTGGACAGTTGCCTTCCCTGCCTGCCAAGTGTGTGTGTGCAAGCGTCGCAGAAGCCTGCGCGCTGCTCCTCTGCCCTCCCAGGCCGTGGATGCCTTCCAGAACGACACCTGCCTAGAAGGAAGGTTGTATGGGTTGCTTGCTGCAGTAGTTCTGTGCAGAGAGCCAGCTTCACGCAGATCAGCGTCGTAGGAATGTCGTAGGGCTGTTTGGCACTTAGGGTTTGATGTGGCACGCGGTGTGCTGAAAACTCAGGACAAAGCCGTCTCTGTGCTCATTCTGAGCCTGCAGGCGCAAGATTTCGAACATGTCAGGGCTTCCAAGCCTACACCGGGGCCTATGCCTCCAAAAACCCTGGGCTAGGATGTCGGACTTATTTTGAGGTAGGAGGAGGGGGGATTGGAGCTTCAGAGGCCATCAACACGGCACTCCGCTGTAGGACCTGGGTTCTCAATGAAATAGCAGAGCCCTCAGCTGCCCGCCATTGGGACCTCCCCCTAAACCCTAAACCCTAAACCCCTCCCGGTGCCTCGCCTGGCTTGTCCGAGTGTGAGCGATTAAACCCCGGGAGGGTTTTGCGGTTTCGGCTTCGGGGGTCGGGTTTGTGGTGTTGTTTGGTGTGTTTGGTGTGCGGGTTTGGTGTTTGGGGCTTCGTGGTTCGGGTTCTGTGGGTCTGGGCTTTTGGGGTGCTGGGGTTTGGTGTGGTGGTGTCCTGGGCTTGCGGTGCAGTCTCATGTTTCACGCTGGCGCCCGATATTCGCTCTTCGGAGATGGTGCTGCAGAAACCCTAAACCCTAAACCCTAAACCCTATAAACCCTAAACCCTGAGCCTCTCCAGGCCGGCGGTGTGGGCCTGACTCTGACGGCCGCGACGCACGTTATCCACTTTGACCGCCCCTTGGCAACATAAACTGAATTTCTAAGGGTTTAGGATTTAGGATTTAGGGTTTAGGGTTTCGGGTTTCGGGTTTCGGGTTTAGGGGTGTTTCAAGACGTCACGGGCCCAAGGCCTCAGGGAATGGGGCGTAGGTTCTGCGTAGCGTAAGTTTCGCTTCTGACCTCCCGAGGGCGCTGTTACAGGATGTTCCAAGATTTCTTTCTCGCTTTTGGGGCCGTCTAGTTTGGCCTAGGCTTTGGGCATACCCTAAACCCTAAACCCTAAACCCTAAACCCTAAACCCTAAACCCTAAACCCTAAACCCTAAACCCTCGCTTTAGGGGCTTTGGGTGCCGCAAGAAGTAGGTCCCCCTAGGTGTTGTGCGATCTTCCCAGGCAGGGCAACGGATGCGCGTCCCCCTTGTCAGCCCTGTTACTCCAACCCTCCTACTCATGCACAAAGCACGTCGCATCACTTTGATTTCTGAATTTGCGGGGAATCCTGAATCCTAAGTCCTAAATCCTAAACCCTAAACCCTAAACATCCCTAAACCTCCCTAAACCCTAAACCCTAAACCCTAAACCCTAAACCCTAAACCCTAAACCGGCATCTTGGAGGCATAGCCCCTTCCTTTGTGAGATGCTTCTTGCAAAGGCCAGTTGCTCGTAGCCCTGAGCCCCAGACATGAAGGGAACAACCCTCATCTTAGGGTTTAGGGTTTAGGGTTTAGGGTTTAGGGTTTAGGGATTCTCCGGAATGATTTCAGTTTTTTGGGTACGATAGTTCCTAAGAAACAGCAAAGATTTTGATTTTTAGCTCGGGTCCCAAAATCAGTATAGCCATAAGCCTTCAGCCTTCGCAAGGATGCTACAACCCAGCATCTTGGCAAAGTGGGAAGTTGTTGCTTTGGGTACATGACGGGTGTTTGCCCTAAACCCTAAACCCTAGACCCTGAACCCTTGGCAAAAATAAACCCTAAACCCTAAGCCCTAAACCCAAGGGTTCCGCATGGGACAACAATTCCAAACCCTACAGCCCAAGTTGGAGCAAGCCTCGGGCTGTAGGGGTATGGAAAGTTCTCTAAATTAGGGTCACTTTTGGGATACCTTTTTCAAGGGTGCCGCCTCAGAATGGGTACCCCAAAAAGGACCTTAATATCTTGGAAACTACCCATATGTAGGGCTTACCTGAAGCCCGGACCCCCCCAAACCCCCCAACATCCCTGCCGCAAGCATCCATGACCTGCCTTTTTTTGGCAGGGGACTACGATAAAACCCCTTATTGTAGGGTTCTTAGGTAACGTGTTGTTTTTTTGTAGGACATTGCCACAATAAATAGCCCTGAGAAGGGAATTTGGTTTCGGGTTCGTAGGGTACGCCCTTAAACCTTACCAACCCTATACACCATGTCAACACTGTCAAGCCTGTAAACCCTCTAAACCCCATAAACCCCATGAACCCCATCAACTCTGCAAACCCTGAAAAACCCAAAAATCATGCCATAACCTGCTTCGAGGACTTAAGGGGGGTATTGCTGCACCTGCTACCTGGGGTTGTAGGTACTCTGAACCCCTAAACCCTAAACCCTAAACCCTAAACCCTAAACCCTAAACCCTAAACCCTAAACCCTAAACCCTAAACCCTAAACCCTAAACCTCCAACCATTAAAAAACCTCCTAAGTCAGGCTAAAGAGGCGCAGGCCACCGATCGAGCTCACCGCATTGGTCAGGCGCCCCTGGGCCATCTGCAACTCCTTGCGTTTAGGGCTTACAGGGGTTGGGAGTCTTAGGGTTTAGGGTTGAGGGTTTAGGGTTCACGGTGTAGGGTTGATAGGGTCAGGGTTGATTTCCAGATGCAACAAGGGTGTTCTTGCCATTGTCAGGAGGACCTGCTCAAGTAGCTGGACTTGTGGTATCTACGCAAAGAAATGAGCTGCCTAGTCAGCATGCATCTAAAGTCATTACTAAAATCGCTCTCTACAAAGTTCTATGGCTCCAATGAGACTTGAGCCACAACCTGGCATTGTTGCATCGCCTCGCAGACGCACACGGTCTTTGTCCACCGGCTCATCACGAAGGCAGGGCAGGGGGGGCGTGTGTTGAACAGAAGGGGACACCATGTTATATATATATATATGTACGTATACGTATATATATATATATATATATATATACATATACAGGTATGTACACATGTTGGTATGTTGAGCTGCTACTATTTGCCTAAGTACCCCCCCACAACAAACAAAGAGCAACAATCCCTATATTGCCCGTATATGGTAGATGGAGGTCCTTAGGAAGCAATAGACACCCTGGTTCTTTGTAGGGAGTGAGGGAATCAGGGCACAATGTATACCATTTAAGGGATTATGTAGGGCACCTCATTCCCTCATGCCCTACTAAGAACCAGCCAGCATAGTGGAAGATGCAGTGCTCAAGCTCGTCTGGGGTTCAGGGTTTCCCTTGCAAGCTTGGGGTCAAAAAGTCGTTCTTCAGCAAATTGTAATTGTAACCCTAAAGCCTAACCCCTGAACCCTAGTCCCTAAACCCTAAAACCTAAAACTCGTTTGGTGGTTCTTGAGCGCACAAACAGTAGGTTCTGGGTTGGGATGTTCCCCCTTATACAAACGGTCCTGAATACAGATGATAGTACCCCCATTTAGAATCCCTATTGAGGACTGTTAGTATAACCCTAAACCCTAAACCCTAAACCCTAAACCCTAAACCCTAAACCCTAAACCCTAAACCCTAAACCTCCCAAGTTCTGGGCTTTGTCCGCTGGCTGCTTCAGGGCACCTTTGAGGAGCGGCTCCATGACATCATGGTGGCGACGCCGGGCTGAGGGGTTTAGGGTTTAGGGTTTAGGGTTTAGGGTTTAGGGGTTTAGAGTTTAGGGTTTAGGGTTTAGGGTTTAGGGGTTTAGGGTTTAGGGTTTAGGGCTAGTAGGGTTTAGGGGTTTCGGGTTTCGGGCTAGGGGTTTGGGTTTAGGGGCTTAGGGGTTCTCATCTCGCTTCGCAGTGTGTTTACCCGGCATTCGTCACGAGGCCTGGATGGTTTAGGGGTTTAGGGGTTTAGGGGTTTAGGGGTTTCGGAGTTTAGGGTTTAGGGTTTAGGAGTTCAGGGGTTCGGGGTTTAGGGGGTGTCTGGGTTTTGGAATCAGGTTCCATCCTTTGACGGTTTTCGAAGGCGGTGCTGAAGAGAAGGTGCTGCTCGCAGCCCGAATCCTCGGCCCCGAGTTTGGGTAGGGTTTGGGTCTTCCCATGGGCTTCTTGTAGACGCTTTGCGTCTAGAGGCTTAGAGTGTTGAGGGTTTCTGGCCTTTGCCGTCGCCTGCTGGCTTGCCTTTGTGTCAAAAACTGGTGCAAGCAGGAACTCCTGCATGCTGCTAAGTAAAAATGTGTTCCGAGTTCGCGGTCTCGCACGCATTGAGCGTGCTACTCTGTCGCAAGGCCTCCGCCGCAGGGTTTAGGAAGTTCAGAGAAGAGTCCTGGGGTTTAGGGGTAAAAGGGGTTGAAGGGTTTAGGTGCTTAGGGTAACCCTAGACCCTAAACCCGAAACCCTAAACCCCAAGCCCCAAGAGTCCTGAAAAGAAGGAAGCAGAAGCTGTCCGACCTGACGATGGTCGGTGGCGAAGGCGCGGCCCGGATCTTCTTGGCGGGGGTTTAGGGTTTAGGGTCTTGTGCTTTTGTCCTGTGCGGCCAAGAGCTCGATGAGCGTACAAGGTTGAGGGTTGAGGTTTGAGGTTTACGTTGAGGGGCCCGAAACCCCACACCGAAAACCCTAAGCCCTAAGCCCTAAACCCCAAACCCTGAACCCTAACCCTAAACCCAACAAGTCTGTCCTTATGGCTTGAGACGGTGGGTGGGAAGCCAGTGCAAACAGCTGGACATTAGGCGAGTTTCTTCAAGACATACGCATGACACCGAAAATTTCCCTGCAGTGCGATGTTACCATCAGCTAGGCGAGTGGCATAAAAACCCAAGTCCGGATGAACAAAAATCTCTGAATATCCCTACTTGGAGGTTCATGGTACTCAATACCCTAAATTTAACTGTACGAATAACCCAATTATAACCACATTTGGGCACTTAAGGGGCTTAAAAGTGGGTGATAAGTACCATGAACCTCCAAGTGCTACAGCCCAAGCCTCTGATCCCTAGGGTAGCTTTCAGCAGCTTTATGCGCAATATAGGGGTCGGAATCATCTACAAGAAGTATCCCCCTTGTGGCCCTTTTTCATGACGCCCTAAACCCTAACCCCTAAACCCGAAACCCCCTTAAAAGGGCCCCAAAGAAAGAGCCACGAAGCTCCGGAGGCTGGATCGCTGACCTCAGCAACAACGAGCTCCGGGAGCCTCTGTCACCACTATTTTTAGGGTGGGGTTTAGGGTTTAGGGTTTAGGGTTTAGGGTTTAGGGTTTAGGGTCAAAAGGGTTACTTGAGCGCCGCAACATCGTCATCTCCTAACGCGCTTCCGAAATCCCCCCACTCACATCGAAGCCCCGCAGGCTGAGAGTTTAAAACTCGGTGACTAGGAAATTTCAGGGTTCACGGGCCAGGGCGAGCGTTTAGAAGCCGCCCCTCTAAGCCCCAAAAAGGGGCACCCTGCTTATTCCCAGGTTACTCTTGTGCCTGGTAGGACAAGTCAAATCTCCCGGGCTCTCCTGTGCATCCTTGCGCTCCATGCGCCGTTAGATACAGGGGTGTGCGGTGGGCTGCCACCTCCTCTGTGAGTTGGGGCTTTGTGTGCGCTGCTCTGACTGACCAAGAAGCTTCACTACAGGGCTGGCCCTAAACCCTTATACCCGTATATGTAAACCTTACACAACTACAAATAAATAAACGCAAATATTAATTCAAAACCCTAAAACCTAAACCCTCAACCCTAAACCCTAAACCAAAACGGGACTCTGAGCCGAGGAGCTTTTCGAGCTCAGCGGCGACGGCGGCGATGCCGCGCCGAAGGTCAAGCGCCGCAAGCGCGCGCAGGAGCGCTTTTTTTTTTTTTTTTTTGGGGGGGGGGGGGGGGTTAGGGTTGTTAGGGTTATTGGGGGTTTAGGGTTTAGGGTTTAGGGGCTCGGGGTTTAGGGGTTTTGGGGATTTTTAAGGTTTTAGAGGTTTAGGGTTCGGGTTCGGGGTTAAGTGGTGAGGAGTCATGCTGCAAAAGGAGGGACATCTTATATGTAGGGTTCGGGGTTTAGAGGGACATACATCTCTTGCTTCGCATCTTTTCAGAGAAGCCCCCCAAAGAAAATGCGCCCCCCCTCTAGCCCAGACATCGAAAGCTTCAAGCCCCCGAACCCCCGAAAGAAGCCCAACGCCTGGCCCTTTCGGGTTTGGGGTTTCGGGTTTAGGGTTCAGGGTTTAGGGTTTCCCCCCCCCCTTAGGCTGCCACAAACGTGATGGCCATGGATGCAAACGGATGCTTGCACGAGGCAGGGATGAGAAGCTAGGCATCAACCCCCCGTCTCTCTTGGTCAAGGGTTTGGTTTTTGCCGCTGAGTGGCAGGTAATATGAAGGCCCATCTCATTTAATGGAAAATCGGCAGTCTGGGTTCTGCATCATAAAATGCGTGTTGTTTTTTTGAGTTGTGGCCCTTTTGTGAGTCCTATCAAAAATGCGGAGCCTGACGTGTGGAGCCCCCCCCCCCCCCCCCCCCCCCCCCCCCCCCCCCCCAAAAAAAGAAAGAAAAAAGGATCATTGCCCGGATAAACCTCTGATGCGGATTACGAAGGGGATGGAGTTGGTCACGCTGCCGGCTAAAACCCTCAACGCTCGACCCTAAACCCTAAACCCTAAACTCCGAACCCTGAACCCTAAACCCTACACTCTGAACCCTGAACCCTAACCCTAAACCCTTACCCCTCAAGTGTCGCTAGGCTCCTGTATTCGGCCAATAGACTCTGTGCCAAAATGCCTTCGCATGCGGCGTGGAATGCAGGGCTCCTCTCTGGGTTTGGGTCTTAAACCTCAGCCCCCGATTGGGCACCAACCTTATTCGGACTTGAACAACTGGGCACCAACCCCGTTCATTTTTTAACGCCACCAACCCTGTTCAGAGCAACCAGGCACAAACCCTAGTCAGATTTGGAAGAACAGGGCACCAACCTTTTTTCAGATTTCGAAAAATCGCCACCAAACAACTCAGATTTCGAAGAACAGGGCACCAACCCTATTCAGATGTCGAAAAACAGGGCACCAAGCCTGAACAACCACAATGTGTTAGGGTGCAGGGCCAAGGGCTTAGGGTTCAGGGCATAGGGGTTTTGGTTTCAGGGCCTAGAGTTTAGGGTTCAGGGCCTCGGGGTTGCGACTGTGGGGTCTTGTTTGTATCACACAAGCAGCTGGCGAGATTGCCCGGAGCCCAGTATTCAAAAAGGGCCCAGGGGTTAAGGGCCCAAGCACTTGGCCCAGGCGGTGCAGGGGATAAGTACGGAGTATCTTCCGACAATCCGGTGTTGTAGTTTTGTGTTGTTAGGGTTTATTGAGTAGTCCTCGCGGTGTGCGCGAGTGCTGGGCGGGTGGCAAAAAACCCTACACCCTCTCCCCAAAACCCTACACCCTCTCCCCAAAACCCTAAACCCTAAACCCTAACCCTAAACCCTGAACCCTGAACCCTAAACCCTAAACCCCTCTCCCCCTCCCCCTTCGGCCAGGAAGCTGAGGAAGTGGGGGGATGAGGCGACGACGCGGTGATCCTCTAGACTTCGTGCAATGAGCATCAGGTAGGGTTCAGGGTTTCGGGTTTCGGGTTTAGGGTTTCGGGCTTCGGGCTTAGAGCTTAGGATCTAGGGGTTGTATTGGGGTACTTAGAGGATCCCCTTTTTTGGGGTTACCTGTTCTAGCACGGAACCTTATATTCAGGGGGCCTAAAAGCGACCATGGTTTCGACAACTGCCCCATCTGGTGCATCTGTGGATACATCCTAGAAAAATGACATCGAATGTGTCTGACGGGGTCAGCCAGGGGGGGAAGTGCTTGAACCGACCTCGACACTTTCTACTTACGGACTTACAGGATGTAGGATGCCCATGGAATCCTAATTCCTTGAACCCTAAACCCGAAGGGGGGCTATAGGCGATGCTCATTAAAGCCCCGAAGCTGCGCCACAAACTCTAAAACCACGCAAGCCTTCAACTCCCACATCCCCACACCTCAGGAGGGTGCAAAGCATAAACCTCGCCTTAAACTCAAGCAAAGCCCATTGTACAGTTCAAGCAGTCCTTCCAGAACCTCCTGGCCGAGTTTCATCAACAGCGTTTCAGTCCGGCAGGGGGGAAACCTAGGTAGGCCCTGTTGGATGTCTGATGTTTCTTATTTGGGCTTAAGAGGATCTCATTTTCTTTGAAAGGGCCCGCCTAGAAACTGCCAGTTGACTGGCCCAGTTTATAGATTTGCATGGCTCAACTCTATTCTACTCGGCAGATTGCAGGGATGTCCCAGGCACCCTTAAACCCTAGATCCTAAAGTGGCAGTAGGGCGGAAGGATTGGGTATCCCCGAGTCTCACTACGTGGGTACATTGGTTGCAAGCCGCCCAAACAAACTGTGAGCCTTGCGTAGTGCTCTGGACTTCGTAGATTGTAGATCTTGGTAGGAGCATCTTCTTGCCAGCATAGCTGACACGCGAGCAGAGAGAGGCTGGTGCGTCCAGCATCTCAGCCATTGGATGCGATTCTGCAGCTGATGTCCCGGAGATTGCGCGCTGGACGCGCAAGGAGGCTTCGTGCCGCTGTGCCGACCAGGCCAAAAAAAAGGGGGGGGGGTTGTGGAGGACAGCTCTCTGTTGTGTACCCGCCGATGACGAGTGCTGTGTTATGCATCAGCAGTGAGTTGTTTTGGGCTACGGGGCAGTAGAAGAGATTATATATATATATATACATATCAGGTATGCCTGAATTTACACTGCATACTCTATAGATTGTAACATGGGCTTGTCTAAAGAATATGCGTATACACATGTAAGTGAGTTAGGTACCTTATTCCCTAGTGCCCTTCGGTTACACGCTCCGCGCACGGGTTCAACGAAAGAGGTGTGCTTGAAGTAGCTGCGCTGATACGTCGCAGGGATCGGAGGATGTTGTTCGCATGCTGGGCGTGAAAAGCCCTCAAGCGCCCTAAACTTTAAAGCCCAGAACCCTAAGCCTGTATAATTCTACTCTACTAACCCCCAAAATCGTATTCCCTTCTAGTCCTTACATCATTGTACTATAATACCCCCCCGCAAAACCCTAAAGGTTAATCCCTGACCTGATTCCAAGGCCACGAGCTTCAATGAGGAGAGGCAGCGGCTGCAGGCAGGAAGTGGTCGGGGCTTAGGGGAAAACCGAGCAGTTCTCCAAGGGCTGCTGTTTCTGGGTCATTGTTGAGAATGCCTAAACCCTAAACCCTACACCCTAAACCCTAAACCCTAAACCCTAAACCCTCATATAGGCTTCCCAAGATTGGGGGCTATGGCTCAGGTCCTCCAATTTTGTCAAGCTGCTCCCCTGACAGCATTCTGTTTCGTAACATGCTCTTCCAGGATCGCAGAAGCGAGCCAACGCATCACTAGGTCCTGGAACGCACGGGATCTGTGACGCTCGTAGCGGTATAAGCCAAGAATGACAGCAAGCAATAGGAATGCGAAGAGAAGCCCGACAGAGCCGAAGAGATTTGAGCCCCCGAACCTGCACACCCTCCATTTGGGTCCAGGGTTTCGGGCTTGGGGGTTCCTCGCAAAGTTGCCCGAGCCGTTCCGAGCCCTGAGCATGGTGCTCGTACAACCCTTTCTTATGGGATTCTGCTCTGTTTGGGGGACATGTTCAGCCCAGTAGTGGGTGATGGTACTCCTAGCACAGAAATATCCCCAAGTCCTCCGTCAATCTGAAACCCTCGACCTCAGCGTCTTGCTGCAGACGAAGCTGGAAGATGTCCAGCGACAAGTGCGGAGCCCGAAGGGTCGTGAGGCTGATGAAGGGGTGGGAAGAGGTTGCTCGCATGCTGGGCGTGCGAAGCCTTCAGGCGCCCGAAGCTTTCAAGCCCTGAGCCCTAAGCCTCATTCTCCTTCCTTGCCTGATTCCAAGGCCACGAGCTTGAATGAGGAGAGGCAGCAGCTGCAGGCCGGAAGTGATCAGGGTTTAGGGGAAGACGGCTTCCTCAAAAATGGAAGCGTGTGGAGACGGAGTTGTCACACAGGTTTCTTCAGATTAGGGGGGCACCTCATTGGCATTGCTCAGGTCCTCCAAACGGACGCTTTTTTGACAGCGTTCTGATTCGTAGCATGCTCTTCCAGGGATCGTGGAAGCAAGCCGACGCATCACCATGTCCTGGAACGCCTGGGATCTGTGACTTTTGACAAGCCTTGGAGATTTGAGATGACGGTAGAAAGCAAGAGTACCAGCAAGAGGAATGCAAAGACAAGCCCGACGCAGCAAAAGAGATTTGAGCCGTAAAGGCAAGTAGCTAACTGTTACAGCTAACTGAAGAGGTACCAAACCAGCATTGGTCCAGGTTTAGGGCTTGGGGGTGATAGATCTCCTGGGCCTGCTTTTCTGTGCGAGCCCCCCCAAGCATCTACTCGCCACCCCAATAAAACCGTGCTCACCTTATGGTTGGGGGGAAGCGGGGGGTTTGGGGTCATATACTTTGAAACAAGCTTGCACGACTTCAAAAAGTGTGGGATTCTGCTCTGTTTGGGGGACATGTTCACCCCAGTACCGGTGGATGGTACTCGTAGCACAGAAAATATCCGCAAGTCCTCCGTCAACCCGAAACCCTCGACCTCAGCGTCTTGCTGCAGACGAAGCTGGAAGATGTCCAGCGACAAGTGCGGAGCCCGAAGGGTCGTGAGGCTGATGAAGGGGTCGGAAGAGGTTGCTCGCATGCTGGGCGTGCGAAGCCTTCAAGCGCGCTACCTCATAGGGGTCGAAGTAATTACCAACTGTATTCCGCTTCTGGTCCCATGATACTGCATACTTATTCTATGCCTTTTAAGAATAATATCCCCCCCCAAAAAAAAACCGATAAAGTTCAAGCCCTGACCTGATTCCAAGGCCACGAGCTTCAATGAGGAGAGGCAGCAGCTGCAGGCAGGAAGAGATCCGGATTGAGGGTTTAGGGTTGCAGGGTTTAGGGTTACAGGGTTTAGGGTTACAGGGTTTAGGGTTCAGGGTTTAGGGTTTAGGGTTTAGGGTTTGGGGTTCAAGGGCTTCCATTCTTGGAGTTGGGGGGTGGCGTCTGCCTCAGAAGTTCCGTTTGTGTGGAAGAGCGTGGGGATGGGCCCCAAAAGACAAGAACCTCTCTACCCAAAACTAGGGGGGGGGGTTTAGGGTTTAGGGTTTAGGGTCTAGGGTTTAGGAAACCCTCGCCCCCCCCCAGCGTCTTGCTGCAGACGAAGCTGGAAGATGTCCAGCGACAAGTGCGAAGCCCAGTTGATCTCACCGCCGATGCTCCCGCGAGCGTCCGAGAAAAAAACCCATCCTCTCCCCTCCTCCAGCACCCACACACCCCACACTTTATCGATTTAGTGCAATGTTCTAGGACTACTATTTGCTTAAGACCACAGAAAAAACAATAAGGATCTTTTGGGGGCAATATTCCCTACTATCTTGTGTTTTTTGGGGGTTGGTAAGCAAGTAGTAGATGAGGGGGTTGGGGGGTTTAGCGTTTAGGGTTTAATTATACCCCAACCTAAATTCGCCCTCCCCACTCCAGGGGAGATCAAAGCCGAAGGTCTTCGGGCTGCCTTTGGGTTTAGGGTTTAGGGTTTAGGGTTTAGGGTTTAGGGTTTAGGGTTTAGGGTTTAGGGTTTAGGGTTTAGGGTTTAGGGTTTAGGGTTTAGCACTTACAAACCCCCAATTATAGCTGTACTTAAACAAGCCCCCCTAAGTCCCCTAAGTAGTTTAGAAGTGCAGTTCGAGTTGGGTTCAAAAGTACCATGAACCCTAAACCCTAAACCCTAAACCCTAAACCCTGAACCCTAAACCCTAAACCCTAAACGCTGTGGTGGCCAGCCCGAGGTGCAGCAGAAAGACCGCGACTACACCCAACAGCTGGCAGCTGGCCCAGGGTGTTTTTTTGGGGGGTTTAGGGTTTAGGGTTTAGGGTTTAGGGTTTAGGGTTTAGGGTTTAGGGTTTAGGGTTTAGGGTTTAGGGTTTAGGGTTTAGGGGTTGGAGCCCCAAAAAACCCTCAGCCCAATACACAGGGGTCTCTCCAAACTGGAGATGCAAGCCTGACGAAGGGGTTCAGGGACTCGCAGCCTGGGGATTTCGGGTGGAGCTGGGGTTTGGGGGTTTTGGGACGAAGGGCTCTGGGGTTCAGGGCACTAAAGGGGTTTAGAGGTTTCATTGGTTTTGGAGGAAGGGATGTTCTTCTTCGAGGGCCCAAGCAGAACCCTTGATTGGACATGAAGGTTCAGGGTTTATTTTTGTGGGATTATGAAGAGGTTTCGGTCAGTGTAGGGCTCCTGAGGAGTATTGGAGTGAGTGTCTCTTGGGTGTCCTTGCAATAGAAACCCTAGCCGCCGCTGGCTCAATGAATTCTTTGGTGGCTTGCTGGAGGGGAGGCAAGACATGTGAGGGTTCTGATTTGGGCCTTTTGGGCCTATTCCTTCTGGTGAAGGGTATCAAAAGGCCTCTGTTGTAGGATATTACTTCTGGGCCTTCTGGTTTACCAAACATAGCCCTTGATTTGGAACAGCACCCCCTTGTCAGCCAGCAGTGTTTCTGTAATGCGTGCGTCTTGGCCCCAGCTTTTGTGGGGAGAGGTGGTATCGTGGAGGAATTCAGGTCGTACAGGTTCCACTTCGCCATTCCTTGTTCTGTGCATTCCTTTGTAGGCATACTAAAGGCTAACGCTTGGGATCTAAACTGCAAGGTGTTCTGTTGCCTGGATGTCTCGGGGTGTTTGTGGTCCGCAAGATGGACTCGGCGAACTTCAGGAACCGGTTGGGGTGTAGGCCGAAGAGCGCGGGCGCTGCCCTCTTTCCATCGCTGCTCAGGAGCCGGGCTCACAAGGAAGGGCTGAGACCAGCATCCCATGAACCTTCCTGCAGTGTATTACTATAGTATAGTTGGGGGATCTAAGGTCGCCCCATGAAAGGCAAGCCGCGCGCCTGTCGCCTCCATCTGCCCCCGAGCCACGAAGCCCCAATCTCTCCAACAGTTTGCCCTGTAGGGTTTAGGGTTTAGGGTTTAGGGTTTGGGGTTTAGGGTTTAGGGTTTAGGGGTTTAGGGTTCCTCTCCGACAGTTTGTGCATCCAAGAAGCGGCGCTGTTGTCAAGAAACACGCGGCTGTGCAGCCCTATCAACACCCCCTCCTGCCCAAGCCCAGCACATGATGAAGCAGACAGACGACACTTGCTTTGCCCACGGTCGAAACTTGAAGCCCTAAACCCTAAACCCTAAACCCTAAACCCTAAACCCTAAACCCTAAAGCCTAAAGCCTAAACCCTAACTAAACTTGGGGGGGGGGGGAGGGAGGTTCTTGCTGATTTTGTAGGAACAACCTCAATTTTTGGTACCCCCTGGTGCTCGAGCTCCATGGCCTCAACTGGCGGCTTGGCGGCTGCGGGCCTGGACCCGCGAGAATCGGGGTTTGGGGTGTGTAGGGTTTCAGGGTTTAGGGTTTAGGGTTATTAGTTATTAGGGTTTAGGGGTTGGGGTGTGTAGGGTTTTTGGGTTTGGGAGGGTCCCTTCAGCCAGGCCTGACGCTTCGAGCGCCTGTGAGAGAGAGAGGGTTTAGGGTTTGGGGTTTGGGGTTCAGGGCTTAGAGTTTAGGGTTTGGGTTTGGCGTTTGACGGTTTTAGGGTTTTAGGGTTGAGGGGTCCAGGGTCTGGACGCGGGAAGAAGACCCAAATGGGCAGCTACAAGCTGGGTCAAAGGTAGAGTAGCCTCCACTAGATTCCAACCTTAGGGCCCCTTGTATGCTCCCAAGGTTCGTAGCCCAGGCTAAACCCTAAACCCTAAACCTAAGCCCTAGACCACAACCCTAAACCCTAAACCCTAAACCCTAAACCCTAAACCCTAAACCCTAAATTTAAAACCTAAACCCTCAACCCTAAACCCTAAACCCTAAACCCCCAACCCCCAAACCCTCAACCCTAAACCCTCAAAGGACACGTCTTCCGTGACATGCCGCGGTCCCAGATTTGCCATGGGGACGGGGCCCTGCCATGGGGGGGGGGGGGGGGGGGTATGCCAAGTCGGGCGCGTTTAGAGCACGACCCTGATAGCAATATGAACAAGAAAAAGCAGCTTAGGGTTTAGGGTTTAGGGTTCCAGTTGCAACAAAAAGTTCATAAACCCTAAACCCTAAACCCTAATCCTGCGGGGGCGAAAAAACCTAATCCTAATGACCAGCGACAGCAAGGACATTAGCCAGCAGGCACAAGCCTGCCCAGCCGCACCGGCTAGCTGGGCGTTGACGTGCTGTAAAGCCAAAGGCAGCCTTGGACCCCAGACCCTTAAACCCCAAACCCTTACTTAAGCCCTCAGGGATTTAGGGTTAAGGGTTTAGGGTTTCAGGGTTTAGGGTTTCGGGCCCCATCGAGCTTGGCTCGACAGGTGGCAAGTAAAACCCTAAACCCTAAATCCTGTGGGACCTTTGGGATGCAGCGGCAGAGAGAGAGAGGGAGAGAGAGAGAGAGAGAGAAAACCTTAGATCCTGAGCCTGACCCAAGCCTCGCCAGCATGGGCCAAGACTTGTGAGAGATCCAACTTTGGCCCCTGGGTCATCACAAGACTTTTCAATGGGAGCTTGTCGGGTTATAAGATAAGGGTCTGGAGTGCGTTGCAGACAAGAAGTCAACATTCTCACTCAGGCCCCTAAACCCTAAACCCCAAACCCCAAACCCTAAACCTTAAACCCCAAACCCTGAACCCCAAACCCTATACCCTATGGTTACTGGGCTCGCAGCTAGGTGACGCTGTTTGGTTGCATGAAGCCAAGGGCTTTTTTTAGCAGTGAGTACCATCCTCATGGTTCCAAGCTCGACCGAGGCCGAGCCAATGGCCTGGCTCTCAGGAAAGGGTTTAGGGTTTAGGGTTTAGGGTTTAGGGTTTAGGGTTTTAGGGGGTTTAGGGGTTTAGGGTTTTAGGGTTTTAGGGTGTTTAGGGTTTAGGGTTTAGGGACTGGAGATCCGGAGGTTGGGGCTTGATGCGGGATTCAGAGTCAATCTTGGCACGAACCCCCCTCGAGAAATCAGCAAGCCACGTCGAGCGGAGGCAGCGAAGTCTTGGCGGTGGAGTGGGACCCAAAGGCACATGCCTCAGGCTTTCGGTGCAGGATTCACGCCCGTCACTTTCTGGAGTTGGGAGCAATCTCGGCTTAGGGTTTAGGGTTTAGGGTTTAGGGTTTGGGGTTTGGGGTTTGGGGTTTAGGCCCCAGACTTCGGCTCTGCCCCCCAAGAAGCCCTCAGAGCAGGGCCTTGTTCCTTTTTGTCGAGGGCTTGGGTTCCCTCATCGCCCCCTTGAAACCACAAAGGGCACCCATTGAAATGCATTCCGAGGCGACTCCTGGGTCTAAGCAAGGCCCTGTCATCCCGGCAGGCTGGAACCAAGCTCGCCTCTGCTTCGGCCGATGGCACGCTGCGCCTCTGGGACCGCCTGCCCTGTAGGATTCATCTGGCTTAAGTCTTAAGGGTTTAGGGTTGAAAGGGTGCATGAGGCTTTAGGGTTCATGAGGCTTTAGGGTTTAGGGTTTCAAGTTTTAGGTTTACGTAGGACTTAGGACGCTCTGTTTTGCATGATGCTTCCCAGGAGACTGGGTACCACCCTGTAGCGTGGCCGAGCCCTACGTAAAAGCACCTGATGCCCCTAAGCCCCGTGCAGCCTAAAGTTAAGTTCCCATATTACGCCAAGTAACCCTATTCGCTTCATGTAAGCTCCCTATGAAGAACCCAGTGCCCCGGCCTTGTGGTTCTGGGGGTGCAAAAGAAGCCGTGGGGGTTGAGGGTTGAGGATTCGTTCGGGTTTAGAAGTGTAGAGCCTACACAGGCTTAAGGGGGTATAATATGGAGGGACCCCCTAGAAGGGTCTTATTCCCCTTTATAACCCAGGATTAGTTGGGGTTTAGAGGTGTAGAGCCTACGGAGGCAGGGTTGGGCCCAAACCGACACCCCCACAGTAAGCCCCAACATCCCTACTGGGCTCGTAGATGCCCTGTGTGACAGGACCCCAATTCCGGCGCATGCGCAGATTTGCCGCTCGGCTTGCAGGTTTTCTCATTGTCGGTGTGCGGTTTGTTTGGCTTTGAGCCCTTGGTGATGACAGCAGCTGATTGTTGGGCGACAGCCGTGTGCCCTTAAGCCTCAGCCTAATACCCAAAACGAAGCTTGACCCAACATATCCTAAACTGCTCATGCTCGAGGTTGGAAGCCTCGGAGCCGCGCGGCTTCGCAAGCAGTCAGCTCAGCGATGGAAGCCAGCAAAGAGCAGAAGGATTCCCCCCTGCGGTGTTGTAATGAATTGAGCTCCGAAATTGGACGGCAAGTCAGCGATAGGGGTTCGTCGTTTGGGCATGTTTAGGCTTGTTTCGTGTCCAGGATATTGAGTCGAGGGTTTGATTGGGATGCCGCAAAGCTTGCCTTGCGCGAGATGTTGGGGGCGGCTTGAAACATCTCGGTGTCTGCTGGACACCGCTGTGACGGCACGTCCTTTGGGCTTACAGCCAACCCAGGATACGGTTGGCTGTTCTGTATTTACTGCTCCTTGTTGTTCCTCCTGATTTCTCAGCTCAGGAGTCTGCTGAACCGGGGTCTCTCGGCTGGGTGCGGAAGTAGCTTTCAAGGCCCAAGTCACTAGTCTGCTGGCTGCCGGACTTGAGAATGCTGAGTTCCCTCCGTCTCAAAGCGAGGCTGTATCACCTGGGCGCCCGACGGTGTGCGCCTGGCCACCGGTTATCAGGCCCAAGAGTGCGTGCCGAGGTTTAGGTGCTTAAGGGCATTGCGTCAGCTTGCTTTTGGGACATGCATACCGACCCTTCTGATCCAAAGAGTCTGTGCTCTAGGCCGCCAACACAAAAGGGGCCCTAAAGCACCTAGAGGCTTCAAGCAAG